AGGTATATGTGCTACAGAACTATGATGTCTGTTACATATTCATGTAGTGATGTAGAGTAACACTTAACATGGTATAAAGAGTACCAGTAGCAAGAACACAACTTTGAATAGTCACTTAAAGCAGCTCTCTTTCACACAACTTACCAATGACCTAAATGCTGATCATTAAAAATTTGCTGGAAAAACTTTCTAGTTTAGAAGTGTAAATGACTCATACTTTGGAAAGAATTGCTAAGGACATCAAGAAACACTCAATTTAGCATTTGTGACTCTATAATCACATTGTAGCTTAATTGGACGAATATAAAGAGGTTTATGCTATAGATTAGAAAGAGACTTATCTAACCTTGCCAATTGCAGCTGTTGTGTTTCCAGCAGCATCGAGAGCATCAGTCCTTTCACGGATGCTATGGCTCATTCCAGCCATCTCTGCAATTCCACCAGCATTATCACTGATAGGGCCATAAGCATCTATTGCGAGCCCTGTGGCTATAGTGCTAAGCATTCCCAGAGCAGCGACTGCAATGCCATACATAGCAGCCAAGCTGAAGCTCACATATATAGAAGCGGCAATGGCAAATATGGGAATGATAACAGATTTATATCCAAGAGCTAATCCAAATATGACATTTGTCGCAGCACCAGTCCTGCAAGAATCTGCCACATCCTGAACTGGACTGCAAGTTTGCAACAGAAGACCTTAAGAACATAGATCAGATATTGAATACCCACCCCCACCAGAAAAAAAAAAAGAAATTAAAAAGAGAAGGAGAAAAAACATGCATATACACAATGCTTCATTGCTGGTGGAGAAACACCCTTCTCTATTTCATTATGAAACACTAATTACTATTGCCAAGAAGTAGAGAGGAAAATTTGATAGCTTTTTCGATCATCACAGGTCACAATCTCAAGTAGCTTCTTTAAAGCAATTCCAGGTTGAGCATTTATTTCCTTAACCAATTAATGACTGTTTTCTTGTTTCCATTTCGAAGCTAATTTTCATAACATGTTTAGCTTGACATTTGTTTCCCCTTCTTTCCTTTTCGATTGAGAAAGACTGCTTAAATAATACTTGATATGGCTTGAAAAATGGCAAGCTATGCAACTTATATTATAGTTAGTGATACTGATGTTAAACCTTGCATAATAATCAAGTTATCCATTCATAATTTAACAACTGAAATTACCAACCTGTAAGCATTGCTCGTGTAATATTCAGTAGTATAACCAATGACCAAGCCAGCCCATAAACCAATTGAAACACAGAAGAATATGTGCCTGCAGCAATAAATAAATTATCATACTAAATTAGAAACATAGACAAGAGGTAGAACAGTGCAGAAAATGTGAAGCAAGAAGAAGAGTACCAGTTCTTCACTACTTTCTCCATTCCAAAGTCGAAAATAGTGAATTCTGATGGCAAAGTGAAGAAGCTGACAAAAGCAATTCCAACGGTCATCAGAACAGTTGAGATGACAAGTTGCCTCTTCAAAGATGGTTCAATCTCAGTCACATTCTTTATCTCAAACATATCGGTTGCAAAAAGAGTAGTTATCAGGCAAACAATAATTCCCATTGAGCTGATAATCAGAGGATAAGACATAGCTGAGTAGTCATGGCTGCTACCAAAGGATGAAATGGATGCAACAAATAGTGCTGCACATGATGACTCAGCATAGGAACCGAATAAATCCGAGCCCATTCCAGCAATATCCCCTACATTATCACCTACATTGTCTGCTATTACCTGTGATCAGCAAAGGACAATGTAACACAAAATTTATAAGGCTTAAACTTATATACACAGATAGCATAAAGAATATAGGAAAGAGCAGAAGTGACATCAAGGAATAGGGGAACCTAAAAGGTTTAGAGGAGGAATTACAGCTGGATTGCGCGGATCATCTTCAGGAATATTATGTTCAACTTTTCCAACTAGATCAGCACCAACATCTGCTGCTTTTGTATATATACCTCCTCCAACTCTTCCAAAGAGAGCCATTGAAGATCCTCCAAGACCGTAACCAGTAATAGATTCATATAGGCCCTCCCAATCATCTCCATAGTACAGCTTAAATAAGTTGATTGAGACATATAGAACTAAGAGGCCATCGGCAGCTAGTAGGAATCCCATAACTGCACCAGAGCGAAAAGCTGTTATGAACGCCTTCCCAATGCTTTTCCTTGCTTCAAGAGTTGTTCTTGCATTGGCATATGTTGCAATTTTCATTCCAAGGAAACCAGAGAGGGCTGAAGTTAGGGCCCCCAGAAAGAAGGCAATGGTGGTGAAGATAGCATTGGCTAAGGCTGGTTTGCAAAGATTTTCTTTGTTGAAAGTGCAAGGCTCACTTTCTGTGCTGAACTTTTTTACTGATCCAAGGAAGAGAAAAATGATTGCTCCAAATACCACCATGAATATGCCGAGATATTTGTACTCCGTGAACAGGAAGGATGTTGCCCCTGCCAACATTTGACATAGTTAATACAAAAGTAACAGGACAATCATGTCCCTTCTTTTTCTTTTCATCATTGATCCATGCAGTAAGAAGGAATCAACAAGATATATAGGTAGTGAATGGATATGGAGAACTAGCTCGAGAGTCTAATGGAGCTAGCAGCTGTACATAGTTGTACTTGGTTGAATAAAAAATTTCATTTTCAACCAAAAACGTTATGCCATGCTACATATTTAGTAGGAATCTACTAGGATTCTGATTAAATTGGCATNCCAAAGGCGACTACAAGCTAAAAAGAGAAAACAAGTGAGTAAATCTTTGTTCCAGTATATACGACTCTCAAGCTTCAAAAGGTACATATTTTCTCACTTGGTATATATTGATGACTTAAAAGAGTTATTCTGGACATGAAAGTGATAACTGGAAACCTGTTATGTCGGAAAATGCAAGTATCTCTTTGCATCCTTAAATGACAATGAGGATACCTCAGCATTGGGATTTTAGTTTTGTTTGTCAGCTATCGATCGATATGATAAACAATAAATTTGAAAAAAGACACTTGAAATAAAGGAGAAGTCCGTGGATATTAAAGTACAAACTTACATGGAACCAACAACGGTTACAGCAAAAGGGGAAAGGAGAAAAGGTTCATGCTCTGCACCCAAGGGCAAAGCCAACAGCGGTCAATGAAGTGTGTGAAAACATAGGAAAATAGAGTCCAAATCAGAGCAGGAAAAAAAAAAGCTTGTTGATTTGTTTGCATCTGCCTAAGCTTTGCCAGGTAGAATTAATAGTCAGGTAAAGTTCATGCTTTTTCTTGTTAACCATGTTTAAGGCGCAGAAACGCATGACAAAAACAATCATCATAACCTTAGTATGTAAACAAAAAAGCCCACCTTCAGAAATGGCTTTCTGAATCTCAGCACACTTGGCAACAGCCGCATCAGAATCAATGCCTTCTTCTTGTACATCTTCTTCAATCAACATGTCATTGTATCCATCTTCCAATTCTGACCCACTAGAGATTCTGACCTTTGAGACTAGAAACCACTGAAGCAGAGCAAAACCAATGCCAACAAGAGAAGCTAAAGGTATCAGAATCTGTGTTAAGGCCTCACTCATCAACCCCATCTCAAACTTTTCCACAGCAAAAACTAGGCTACTTTTCTTGAAAATTTTCTCTTTTCTGCGGCTACATATAAGGCATAAGCACACACAGGCCACAACAAAAAGGGTGTGCTCAGGTATTCTGGTCTTCTAAAGGGAGTTTAACTTTTATATATTAATGGTCAAATCACCTAGAGAATACAGCTATTGGTTACCGTTCTTAACAAGCGAGATTAGTAACCCGAAAAAGGCAGTTTATTTGCTACAACAGATATACATTAATACACTGAATATCTTTACACTGATTTGCGTATATAAAGTCAAAACTAAATGGAGTTTAATATATGTTATGTGCCAAGTCCAAAATCTGCAACTGCTGTTGACAACTTGACAAAGAAAATGTAACGTGGAACAAAAAATTGCTCTTTAATTTGGTAGCTTTGCATGCAAGGAAACCGGTGGAAAACTTTAAATTGGTTGGTTTGATTTATCGTTTTGTTTGATTTAGAAAACTTAATCCAAAAGACCTGCCCGATAAATATCTCGTGTAAGGAGCAATTGACAGGTAAATCAGAGAACTTGTGCATCAAATTCTGCATTTATTAAATTTACAATTTTGACTATATAACCATTGCATAATTATAAAAATGTCTAAGTCTTCAATTTTTTGAGAATTAGATGGTTTAAATAGTCAAGAGTCACGCAAATTCCCTTTTTAAAATTTTTATTTATTGAGCCCAAATTACTCCATTAGTAAGGTACTTGTAGAGTTTAACAACTATGTGATTAACGTCATTAACGAGATATATAACATCATTAGTAAGGTACATGTAGGTTCAATTATGTCGTTAACGAGATATATAGTATACTGTTATGAATAGCTTATAATTCTGACATATCGCTCTTTAGAAAAGCTTTTTTTTGTTTGTGATTTTGAAGATGAAGCTCTTGGCATCAATTCAGTCAATTGTTTATCTTTTCTTAATAAAAAAAATAAGTCATATTAATATCTCTAATCCTAGCATTTAATAATTTTCTATAGCGATTCAAACTCCAATTTCTTGCGGGTTCATTGAAGTAAGAGACATTCTTGTGAAATAAGTAAGGCTAAGTCAGCCGTCAACTTGAAACTATCCAAGCTAGCAGGTTTAGAATAGTCTTTGGGAAAGATTACTTAGCAATTAAGGGAGGAGAAGTATGAACAATCAAGTTCACGTTAAAATCTCTTTGAACTATTCTTCTGATCAAAGATCTCCTACTTCTCCCTAGGATTTTCACTAATTAATACAAGATTATTCAGCCTAATCGAACGCCATGTCATCAGCTATTTAACATTTTGAAATATCGTATGAGCCATGAGGAATAACGTGCGATGCGCACAAGTGGTATTTCTTTGTTCTACCAAACCCAAGACGGGAAAAGAGAAAAGTATAATAGCAGCAAATTACATCATAAGATAGAAATTAGAAGTCAAATCTCGGTTAAATGATATATATTCTCACTTTAACTTATTCTTTAAAGTATGCTTAGTTTGATACAAACATCATATGCGAATAACTAATTTTTATATTTACTCTCCAGCAGTTTCTGCATTCGTCTACTAATCCTTGTCAACCCTTTTTCGCATGGACAGACCAGGGCAAAGCTTAGGCTGTTAAGGAAGATCAGAAACCTAAAACATGAACAAAAAATAGTGAGAATTGACCAACTGGCAACCGCCTCACCACTTAAACACCCTTTCTTTTCTGCAACTCCATCCCTTGCAAAGTGATGCCAGCGTACTGCCATTTGCCTTTGAGGTCACTACCAAAGTCAAAAAGAACATCTCCCCAAAAGCTCTGCATAAATTAAGTTCATATAATCACTATGAACTTAACTCTCTTGCTCCAACTCTGTTTAGGTGTATAAAACAACAAATTACTGATCAAATCTTATGCATTGTCAATAACAATTTCAAGAAGCAAAAATTCAGAGGCAAAAGAACTATCAAATTTAACAAAGTTACAAAAGGCAAAGATCTTACCATTTGTTTAAGAGAGCACAAAATGCTTTCAAACTGCAAGCTCAATCATTACTCGAACTGAGACCTTAAAGGTTGAATAGCCCACGAAGGTGGAGGTGCCTGAAGCAGGATTGGTTTCCCAGTAATAGGATGCTCAAAAGATAAACTTTCTGCATGAAGATCATGGCCATCATATCTGCTGCCTTTCCAATCATAGACACCTTCATATCTTACATCTCCTCGTATAGGAATTCCAAGATACTGGCAATGCAAGCGAATTTGATGTGTTCTTCCGCTTTGAGGGCTTGCCCTGACCAAAATCTCATCGTTCTTCAAGTCACAACCAATGGCTGATTTCTCTTGAACTATGACTACAGCTTCATCCTTTTGTAAGTCCGAAACCTCTTTCAAACACCCACTGTTCACTGATAATACTTCGAAAGAGGTCTCCATGTGTTTAACAAGTGATCCACCTGGCAGTTTCCTGCCCACATCTGATGCAGCATAAACACGCCAAGCTCCATATTTTGATCGGCCATGACCTGATTTAACAGTTATTTTTTCCCATTTTGGAGCAAGCCCAACACAGAAAGCCAGGTATGTTTTCCGCACCTTATGGTCTGTAAATGCTTTTACAAACTTGGCTGCTACTTTGTGCAACTTAGTAATCAACATCACACCACTTGTATCACGATCAAGTCTATTAGCTAAATGAAGCTCGGAAACATTAGCCCCTGAAGATATTAAACGTGGTGATTAAAACGCAAGGAAACCTCACAAGTACCCAAGTGGTATTTGTCAATTTATTTCTTCACTTAAAAAATAAGATGATTAAAATGTCTTTTCACAAAACAACTTACGGACATCCATAAGTCCCCAAAGGACCATGAACTTCATTCCTCTCCTCTCCCAAAACCATCTCTAGGCATTTAAAAGCCTCTATTTGATTATACATGGTGAATAAACAGAAGTACAAGAGTTATACATGTCAAGCAAGGATTTAGCCCATTCACAGATGTATATCATTCATCAGAAAAAGAACTAGATCATCTGTTTTTCTTCCTTCTTGTATAAGAAAGGACATTGTAATTTATTTCACTACCTTTTTTTTTTTAATTGGTAGTGTATTTCACTACTTGTTGACACACTCAATGCCTAATTCCTTCATATAATGAGCTACAGCACATTGTTTCCACTATATAAATAGTTTTGATAACAAGATCCCCTGTACCGTGTGTGATAACACTAGATAGGATAGGACTAGAGGCAGAGTAAATAATTCTATCAGAAAGGTGGTTCTTATATTATCCTTCCAGAGTGGGAGTAGGTGGAGACTATTAGGGGCTAGTTGCACCGAGATTATAATACTTAATACAAGGATTATTATACGACAAATAATAATATAAGGATCATATATAGACATACATGGATTGTCATGCGGTGAATAATAATACATGGATTGTTATAACAATGCATGTATTGTTATGTGGAGATCGCGATATACCTGCATTCTTATTCCACGTTCTACCTTATGTAAAATAGCAAATTTCCTTATAAGTTATGCATGTATTAGTTATACGAAGCTTTACATTAGAGACCAAAACACGTTTTAGTAATGAAGAGCAGTATTAGTAAATGAGTTCTATACCGAAAACCAATGTTTCATTAACCATGTAAAGCTTTATGGTCAGATTAGTTTATCTTATATGACAAACCAAACAAGTCCTGAGGTTTATCCTAGCCTATTGTTTACACGAAAAATCAGATAACGTTAAATTTGTATATGGTTCTAAGGATATGCGATACAATTTGATACAAATCGTATAGAGAAATAGAAATATGAGTGTTCTTGGCTATGAGAATGGGAATATTGAGCAAAACAATGAATAAGGTAAAAATAAACAAGCATCAGGTGATATCTTTCAATATGAGAAGTGATCTTTTGTTACAGTGTATTCTCTGTGTGCCCTGCTTACAAGGATACCCCTTTTATAATAGAGGGATCCTACTTCATTTATAATAAAATAAAGCATATAGTGGAGGACCCATGATGATTTGTCTCTTCCTCGATTCCCGCCAAGATTCTCTCTCTTAGTGCGGTTGTAACGGCTCGTCTGTGAGCTCGGCACTGGCTCGGGCTCGTTATTGGGTCGAACCCTCGGTTTTGGCTTGAGTTCGACCTCCGGGGTGGGCGTAGCGCATTTCTGACCTCGAAGCAATGTCTTGCGGACTGATTTGGTCACGGGCTCGATAAAAGTATCGAGCCGACTCCTCGATCAGCCTTCGGACTCGAGGCTCGTTTGTACTGCCTTTGGAACTCATCCCAAAATCCCACTCCTNAATAAACAAGCATCAGGTGATATCTTTCAATATGAGAAGTGATCTTTTGTTACAGTGTATTCTCTGTGTGCCCTGCTTACAAGGATACCC